TGAAGCAGGGTGCCATCTCCTGCCTTTGGTACTCATCTTCTATTGCCATAAAAGGTGACCATTTCCCTAATGTCTGTCAGTTTTTAGACACGGATAATGCTGACAATCTAGTGATGCTGGGTCTTTGCAAGATTTCTTGAGGCTTAAATTACATTAATGAAGCATTTAGTATGTAAGTCTTTCCAGAAAAATAAGCTTCCTGCCTAGATGCACTCAGAGCTCTCCAGGCTATTGGGATGTGTTTTTTCTTCATGCATGCCAGACATTATCATAGTCAGGATCTGTGTTTATGTCGCTGTAATGAGTTTACCTTATACACATGTCAGAACCAGCATATAATTATCCAGCCACCTCAGGGTTTTTCTGAAATACCAGCATGGCTCAAGCACCCTGCAGAAAGCTGGAAACAATGACTGTCCCTAGAAAGTCACAGTGTCTCTGACTGCAGTGCAGATCCAGAGTCATGGGATACTCTGTAGCTTCCATTCATGCCTGGTGGCTTTTCCTGCCTGATCTGTTCCTGTTCTTGGATGACTGAATCATTTTAACCACTCCTCCCATGGAAGGTTTTTTTTTTTTTCCTGCGGCAACATCATCCCTTAAAGCCCAGGGCTGTACCTTCCAAGTTGTACAGGAGTTTTGGTGTGCCCAGTCTCATCTCCCTCAAGGTGTGTGTGAACTTCAGTTACGCTCCCTTTGGTCTTCCTTGGGGGATGGTTTTCGCACTCCAGTGTGCAGGGAGCAGTGCTATTCCCAGGAAAAGCCCTTGCAGGCCTGAAGGATAGGGCATGGAGTGCTGCCCACATCCCTGGTGCTCTGTGTAGAGAATGAAAGGCTCTTTGAACGGGAGCCCCTGCCTGTGCTAGGAAAGATGCCCCTGTCCTGGGCCATGTGGAGGGAGGACCTTTGCCCCTTTCCCCTCCCCGTGGCCATCTCCTTTCCCTCAGCACCTGCCCTGTCCTGCCAGGCCAGGAGTACCGGATGTACAACACCTACGACGTCCATTTCTACGCCTCCTTCGCTCTCATCATGCTGTGGCCCAAGCTGCAGATCAGCCTGCAGTATGACATTGGTGAGTGTCCCCAGAGCCCTGCCTTGGTGCCTGCTCAGGGCTTCACCTCGGGGAGAGGTGGACACCTTGGGACAGCTGCTGCTGCTGCAGAGATGTGTGCCATGGAGCCCCTCCAGCCACTCTGCTGAGCGCAGGACTGCAGCCCTGGGATGTCGCTGCCCCAGCAGCTCTGTGCCCAGCACTGGGGATGCCTTCTTGCCATGCTGGGGGTGCACAGCTGGCTCTGCCTGTCCTGGGAGAGCCCCTGCTCTTACCATCTCTGTCTTTGCCCCTTGCAGAGGGGACATGGAGCTGTTTGCAGACTCCCAGTGGGAGAGGGGCCACAGGCTTTCGTCGCTCCAGGCTGAGCAGGGTCCTGCTGGCCTGCACCAGCTGGGGTCCCAAGGAGCACCATGTGGTGGATGGGCTGACAAAGAGGAGCCCAAGCCATGGAGGGTCGCAGCAGGGGTCACACAATGGCCGTCAGGGATAGTGGCAGGAGAGGCCAGTATTGAGGAAAGGGAACTGGGGCACTGATCAGTGAAAGAGAGGAGACTCTGTGTGCTTGCAGAAAAGCTTTATTGGGAGAAGCAGGTGCTGAAGCAGGAGGAAGGGCTACAGCCCAGCGCTGCCTCTTCTTCTGGGAGCTCCAATGCTACCAACCCTCAATCCAGGAGCTCTCTCAGGCGCCAGAATGTGTTGTAGCCAACCCTGAGGGGACACAGACAGAGGAAATGTAAGGGTGGGACATAGGAGTGGCCCACCCAGCCCTGTGTCATTCCAAACCACTTGCACCTTGTCAGGACGCCCAGGGAAGCTGTGCACAAGCACCCTGTCCTCCCTCAGCTGCACACTGGCAGCTGCTCTGCCAAGCGCTGAGCACCACAGCCTGGGAGCACCACCCTTCATCCCCACCCTCGGGCCATTCAGGATTCCTTCTCAGGCATTTGGCTTTGGAAATGACTCTCAGGTGGTGAACCTTCCCTTGAGCCAATGACAGACACTTTGCACAGCAGGGCCTTCTGTT